ATTCTGTGCCTATTTTATAAAGTGTGTTTTTTTCCTTATTATTGATCTTTGAAAGTTTTTTTTAATTTGTGTTGCAAGTAAGAGAAATTCAATCCAGGTTAAGGAAAAAGGAATTTACATTAGCTCATGAAATCAAGATGTCCATGGAAGAGTGAGCTTCAGGGTCTCCCACAGTTAATCAAGCTTGTCATCTTCAGGAGTTTCTCTTACCGTCCTTCAGCTCTGACCACTATGCTGGCCCCATTGTGGTCAATTGTACTAGGATTTCTTTTTCTTTTTTTAAAATTAACACAAATTAATCATACATATGCATGAATACAGTGTGCATTGATCAGGTCCAATCACCCTTCTTCTACCCTTGTTACCACCATATGATCAAACCTGCTACAAGAAATTAACCATCCTAAGGTAGAAAGGCTCAGTCAATCCAGCCAGCCCAGCTCATCTCAGAGTCAGTCCTCCTAAACTCTCAAACCCAGCATTTCATGAAAAACCTGTGTCATTGCCTTGTGCTAAACAAAGCTATTAAAAAAAAATCTCAAGTTTTTTAACTCAGAGAGGAAGTGAGCTCTTCCATTTTCTAGCAATTTAAAAGCCTCAGAGATATACTGTGATTAGCCAATATCATGCAACTGTTGGGAAGGGCCAAAACTTTATGTGATTCCCAATCCTTTGTTTTTTGGCTCTTGATTTGTTGTGGCAGGATTCTTCCCAGATGCAGACCCATTTCTAAAAGCTGAGAGTCCATGATTTTGAAAATGAATCTGAAATCTTGAGATTATGAGATAAAGCATTGATCAATTAATAAGGCTGAAGATACAGAAATCAATCCCTGATTTATATATTCCTCCTTCCTCTTCCAGAGTTCCCTACTTGGAATCTCAAATTCCTTTACCCCAGTACTTTACAGTCTAGAATTTTCCTCCACTGTCTCCCACTGGGATACTTTGTCTTAAGTTTATTTTGTTGATCTACTTATCTGTAGATAAAAGACTTATTGAAAGCAATTGTCTTAAAAATAACAGTGTCCTAGATTGTCTTTGTAGTCCATTCTTTTTCTAGACACAAAAGTTACACAGTTACAAGGTAGAGCCACCCAATTTTGAGAATAGGGAATTCTTTCTTAATACTAGAAAGAGACTTACAAGATGCCTTAGCACAAAGAAATATGGACCCTTTCTCTGGGAAGATGCAGTCTTGCACAAGTGGGTGAAAGAGTTTTAGTCTACATTGACTCTCTTGCCTAGGCATCTCAACTGCACAGTCATACCAGGTAGCCCTAGTTCTGGGATCCAGGAAGAGTATTTCCTTAAGATTTTGTTTAGTGGCTGACAAGACAGGTAGACATGGTCCTCCCACAGTTCATAATTGTAAATCTACAAGATTCAACATTTGCTCTCACTTTAATGAGTCCCATGAGGATAGGGACACTATCTTTGCCATATTTTGGTGCCTACCATCGTGCCTGGCTGGAACCTAATAATAATCACCTATTTGTTCGTTACTTTTCATAACTGTAGTTTCAATACTTTGGGAAGAACAAAAAGATAACCATGTAGCTCTCAGACATGACCACAGTTAAAAAGGGTTTCTATGGCAAGCACAGAAACCCACATATGGAGAACAAGGAAGATAGGCAGCCATCAAAAGTGGAGACCACAATCTCTAATAGGCAGCCAGTCTTGCAAATTCTGGGTCATGGTCTATCACTGCTTCTGCATAATGTCTCATTTAAATAGAGTAGCCATATCAGTGACTAAATCTGTGACTAGCCTTTCACTTGTAACTGATATTCATACTTTTATCAATAGCCTCTTGCTCCTTCAAATCCTATTTACCTCTCTCTAGTCCATTTTCCATACTAAGCTGATTAATTTTTCAGTTCAGAGTCTCACTAGTTGACTGCTTAGGAGAAAGAAAAAATCCTGTGATGATTTACAAAACCCTGTGTGGTTTGGCCTCGACGACTTGACTTCTGCAAACTCACCTGGAGTTTCTTCACTCTCCATGTTGTAGCCAATATCTTTCACTTCCTTAGTCTATAAGGTTCACTGCTGCTTAGGGCTTTCCTTCTCTTTCTCTTCCTAAAATACTTATTCCATCCATGACAATCTTTTCTTTCCTGACTCCTGCCCCTCCTACAGGCCTCAGCTTAAATTGAACTCTGAATATACACTGAATGCCTAATGTAATGTGGGTCTCTCCACTTGCCCAGTAATTTGGCCTCCTAGCACAGTATTCTATACTATTCTGTTTCATTATATACCATCTGATTAGCATCTGCCTCTGTGCTATGGACTTGTAATTCCACGAAGGTCTGTTTGGCTCACTAGTGTATCCTTAGCATTACCCAGAGAGTTGGCATATAACACATTATAATATTTATTGAATAAATAAAGGTACAGTTTTTAAGGATCAGAGAGATAATATAAACATAGGATAGGGTAAGGTAACAAGAGGAAGTAAAAGCCCACAAGAAAGCATCCATAGCACCATAGCCAGGGCCTTCTTGCCATTCTGACTCCATCAAGTGGGCCCAGCAGCAGTTCATGAGCATCCGGACCACTGTGCTGGTGGCTGTGTAGCAGAAGCAGGAGTCCCTTTGTTCCCACCTCTCCTGACTTGATGCCACTCATTTCTCATGCACACTCTTTTCTCTTGTCAAATGCTTAGCAAGCCCAACTTTTCCATATTTAAAAAAATGTTTACAAAAAAAAATAATACCAGGTCATTTCAGAGAAAATGAAATAAAAATAATAGAACACTTTAAATTATCTCATATATATAGGAAAAAATATTAACAAGTTAATATACTAGACTTCCAATTAGATCTATGAACACATAGAAAATCCTGTTTCTACAGAGACAATGTATGTTGATACTACTTTTTAACCACAATTCAGGTAACTAGTATATAACTTTTTGAATTGTGTATATTGCTACAATATTTTTTTATATTTGGAGGTTTTTACATCTGTTCTAACATCCCACTATTACAAGTAGTATAAAATAAATAATGGGCTGAAAATAGATTCATATTGTACATTTTCTGGAAGTGAGCTACTTGTTTTTTATTTCTATTTAAAACCATATGTTGTCAAATTACCTCCTAGTAAATTAATATCATTACCAATGGCTGTGAATATTAATTTTTATCTAATAGTCAAAATTGACCACTCTGAATTGCTTTCAAATTGCCTGCCACCACTACTCTGGAATATATTGGGCCTTATGCTATTAAGAAATATCAGGTTTTGAACTTGGGCAAAGAGGTATACATAGTTATCTTCCATGAATTTCGTTGCAACAATCCTAAGTCTCAGGTGGCAAGAATAATTAAACTGTGGCAACAAAGTCCTACATGGTAAGGAACTGTTATTACAAAGGTAATTTTTAATTCTAAAATCATGGGGTGGTGGTAGTGTCCAAAAATTTGGGGTCTGGCTGGCTGAGTTCACTTATAGATCCTATCCACCTTATTTTTTTAAGAATATATATATATATATATATATATATATATATTTTCTTTCTTTTTTATTATGATAGGAGAATGCATTACAATTCTTATTACACATAAAAAGCACATTTTTAATATCTCTGGTTGTATACACAGTATATTCACACCAATTCATGTCTTTATACATGCACTTTGGATAATAATGACCATCACATTCCACCATCATTAATAACCCCAGGCCCCTTCCCTTCCCCTCCAACCCCTCTGCCCTATCTCGAGTTCATCATTTCCTACCATGCTTCCACTCCCTATCCCACTATGAATCAGCCTCCTTATGTCAAAGAAAATATGCACAAAACTCAACTCTAAATGGATCAAGGACTTAGGAATACAACCAGAGACCCTGCGTCTAATAGAAGAAAAAGTAGGCCCTAATCTCCATCATGTGGGATTAGGCCTCAACTTCCTTAATAAGATTCCTGTGGCACAAGAATTAAAATCAAGAATCAATAAATGGGATAGACTCAAACAAAAAAGTTTCTTCTCAGCAAAAGAAACAATCTGTGAGGAGAATAGAGAGTCTATGCCTTGGGAGCAAATCTTTACCCCTCACACAGACAGAGCACCAATCTCTAGGGTATATAAAAACTCAAAAAGCTAAACACCAAAAAAACCAAATAACCCAAACAATAAATGGGCCAAGGACCTGAAGAGACACTTCTCAAAAGATTATGTAGAATCAACAAATACATGAAAAAATGTTCATCATCACTAGCAATTAGAGAAATGCAAGTCAAAACCACTCTAAAATTTCATCTCACTCCGTCAGAATGGCAACTATTATGCATACAAACAACATGTGTTGGTGAGGATGTGGGGAAAAAGGTACTCTCATACACTGCTTTTTGTGGGACTGCAACTTGGTGCAGCCGATATGGAAAGCAGTATGGAGATTCCTTGGAAAACTGGGACCTTATTAACCCAGTCTTTGGATATTATATTGGCTTTTCTCTCATGGTCACCTCATGGTTGAGAGATATCTATTCTATGTCCAGCACCTCTTCTCCAATGCAGGCAAGAAGGGGAAGACAGAAAAGTAACAGGTCACATGCCCTTGAAGTCACCTTTTAAAAATTAGCTTTACTAGAAATTCCACTCAACACCTTGGGTTACCCTTCATTGAAAAGAATTGTGTTAGACTGCCATCCTTATTGGTAGGTAAGGGGTGGATGATGTTGTTTGTTCATTTTAGTTGAGCACAATCCATTCAAGCCCCACCTTGAGCAAATCAGTGTTCTTTTAACAAAGAACAGAGGATGAATGAGTATTGGAGGTAGATAAAGATAACCATTAGTGTTCCCTATTCATGATTTTGGAAAAGATTGCTTAGGAAGACTTCTAGGGATTCCATCTCATAAAATAACTAAAGAGAAAAAGTCTAAAAAAAAAGTCAAAGAGAGGGCTGGGGATGTGGCTTAAGTGGTAATATGCTCACCTGGCATGCACGGGGCACTGGGTTCGATCCTCAACACCACATAAAAAATAAAAGATATTGTGTCCACCAAAAACTGAAAAATATTTAAAAATTCTCCTCTCCTCTCTCTCTCTCTCTCTCTCTCTCTCTCTAAAAAAAGAGAAAGTTCTCAGTAGAAAGACCTGTTAGTCTACAAATTATAAGATTGGGTAGAAAAAGACCAAACTGATAGGCAATCTATAAGTGTCATGGTAAAGAAATACCAAGGGAATTGGGAGTGCCAACCAGACTGACTACCCTTTTACCCTAATACCTGAACTTCAGACATTTCTGGGAACAGCTCTTAATGAGGAAGCCAGTATTCCCTGATTAGTACACTTTCCCAGTGGGAACACTTGGCAACAGGACTTTATGTTTAAGAGACAGACTTACTGGATAAGTAAGCTTTGGAACAGAGAGGGGTGTAGCTAATATACAAAATGTTTCATGGAATATTAAATATTGGAAACCAAGCCACCATTATCTCCATAGGAGTCTATAACTTAATAGAGGTAATAACAGACTCAGGAATGATTAATATGAGGAAAGCACACTATTGTATGTGCCCCATATTCTCTTCTTCCCCCTCACATATCAGCAGCAGAGAACCTTTGTTGCCTCTCACAGCTCACCTGAGGTGGAACACATAGTGACTTCAGCTTACGAAGCCTCTAGCTGACTCTGTTCTGCTCTTTGCATGTAAATTCACCATTCCTCTACAGCAATTTGTCAGTGGCCATGTGCTCCAATCACTTTAGAAATAAGCTTTAAAGAGTGGAGGGAAGAAATAGGACTTGTTTGCTCCCAAAACCAATGAGTCTGACATCCTCTGCCTTGAGAATGCTGTTGTACTGGCTTAAATTCTTAAGTCATTCTCATTTGAAAGTCTTCTCAAAGAAAAGTTTATTGTAGAAGATAAAGAAGTACAGCAGGACAAAGTTTATTATATCATTCCAGGTACTAGTTCAGTGAAGCGGGTGAGGACAGTGTTTTCCTCTGGAGACTCTTTGGGCCAGGACCTTTGGACCACGCATTGCCTATAAGTTCAATGCCATGACATATAATACTTAGAACTTACTCTGCATGGAAACTCTTGTAAAGAAACTCAGACATCTACCACTGAAACTGCAGATCGTAAAGATAAATCCTGGAATAACCACTAAAACAAAGTTATAGCCAAAAGGCCTACTGTGGCTAAAAGGAAGTACATGTAAAGATGAGGGCACATAAGACTTATCAAATCTCTCTCATCTTCCAACAAAGATAGCCACAGTTGGCCATTTAACTGGAGCTGTCAGTGAGATGATCTATTCCTCAAATCCTGAGACATGTTCTTTGTCCTACTGCACTGTCCTAAGTATAATCCTCAACCCTATCTATATATGATTCTGCAGTTGGAGGTCATAAACATTAGTTCTTGTAATATCAAGGATGCTCATTAAGGCCCCATACAGTAACAGTTATATTACATTTCCAAAATTGGACTCTGGATTTTAGTAAAAAGTTGGATCCCACTCTTAATTCTTCTATTTACTGGATATGAAGCTCACATGCATTCCATGTGGCTGTCTTGAGAAATCCAGTGGGAGCAATTATCTGGGATGAACTGGAACAGTAGTGGTAACCACTGACTGACTCTAAATTCACATGAGGCTCAGGAACAGAATCCATTGTATAATTTATAAAGTTCAGATTAACAGGACAACTGCAGAGATCTGTGATACAGCTACTACAAATGACCAGTCATGCAAATGTAATGCTGAAGACATTGTAGTCATAAGAAATGTGGCCTAAAACCACAAGTCCTTAGATTATATATTCTAGTTGAGAAGTGGGGAGAGCATATTTAAAAAGTAGGTCCATAAGAAGTGACTAAACTGAGTGGACTTCATGTGGTCCAGATTCTCTACATCTTTTAGTAAAGCAAGAATAAATAATCTTGTGTGTTGAGAAGGCAATAGCCCTACTTCAAATGATGAGTTGTGTGGAAATAAATGGTGCCATCAGGTTGGCCTGGTCTAGACAAAAGTTATCAACTAAAGGGTGAAGTGTAGCTGGCCATGACTTGCTTTGTAATTGAAGAACCCCATGCCTAGAAAACCCCTGTTATATTAAAAAGATATCCTGATATGTGTTGCTCTGCTAAATTTCTGTATCCTTTGGTATATTTTAAAAGTCTTTGTTTAAAACATGAACTTCAGGTCCAGTAATGAGGTAACAGAATATAAATTTACTGGTACAGATAGCAAAGGCATCAACTTTGAATTGATTAAAAAAAAAAAAAAAACCCTGATGAGTCTCATTACCCCTCTGAGATAGTGGGACTCCTCCCTATGCTGGTAACATAAATCCACAGATCCAGGGTAACAGCTCTACTATCTTAAGGAATTCCTGCCTTAACTAGTTAGTTATAGCCTTTACCTGAGATAAAGCATCTGAGATTCTTGCTACAATAATGTTTAAATTCTGATAGGCTGACCCACAAGTTTGCAGGGAACTTTGGCTCCACCACAAGCAACCATATTATCTTTAGGTGAACCTGAAATTCAAGTAACTGTCAAGCACCTGAAAGGACTCTAGAAACAGCTATCTGAGTTTTTCTCTCCTTTCCTAACCCCAGTCTGCAATGATTGGCACAAATCCTAATTGCCATGCACCAATTGTTCAAGATAAGGCATCTCACCTCTGCTCTGGAAGCCCACCAGCTTACCTTCCAAGTGCAGCATTTACATATCCCCATCTTCATTATCCTTCATATGGTATCTGAAAATAACCATAAGGACCTATCCTTTTGCCTATAAAAGAATGTGTTCTGACTTGCCAAGAACAGGTTGGCAAGGAGAAATGTCTCTGAGAATGTTGGAATCTTATCTGTCTCAAAGAATCGACCTGATACAGAGTCAAAAGGGAAAAACAAAGAGATGGTATATCATTTGGGGACAGAGGGAGATACTTAAAATGTCACTTATCAAATGCTTAGAGTTTGACAATAATGTTTGGGGTAGTCCTTATGCTATCCTAGAAAGAAACCTTCCTAGGGATAAACGTACATGTCATCAATTCTTCCTAAACTTGACTAAAGCTGGTTAAAGCTATGTTAAGCTTAAACCTCATAAAAAGTGCCAAATATTGTGAAATGGATCCTATACTAGGCATATCTCTGCATTTTGTGAGGCTTTCTGAAGTTGTGTGAGGTACTCCTTAGAACTCACTGATTAAATATTGGAGCAATATCAAGTGGTTATAGTCATTTGCATAGAACACTATGTACTTTTTAACAAAATGAGTTTCATGAGTCCACATCTGGTTCAAGTTATAGATTAAAAGGAGAATGTTTTCCCCCAACAAGGATATAACCTAAACATCCATCACTTTTTTAAAAATGCTTTGAGAAATCACAGAATTAATTGATTCTCTGATTTCCTGTTTCTGGTAATGGTTCAGTGTATTTGAATCAGGTCTCCAGCTGAAAACAACTAAAAAGCTGGATAAAATACACTTGAAATAATATTTTTAAAAGCATCAAAGAGATTACAAAATAGTAGGAATTGTTATCCCTAAAGTCAAGACGTGGAGAATCTGGAGGAGTAAGTAAGCCCTAAATCACTTCCCCTGAAAGCACTAGCTAATCCTACAAAATTGGAATCTTTTTGATAACTTTTTTGATAACCTTTTAGGGTACAGAAGGAGTCAGAAAACAAAACTTTGGGTCCATGTAACTTGAAGTCTGACAGGACACCCTTTCCTTCAACATGCTGGGATCTAAGATATTGGAGTGAAGGTGAATAAAAACTGGACTGATATGGAGAGAATTCAATTGTGGTGAAACCCTCCTGAGTTGTCCAGGAGATATCAAACTTTGAGCAAGTGGCTTTGAACTTGCAGTGCCTGCAGGTGCCTGGCAAGAGCAAATACAAAACTCTTTGGAGCCAATTATCTTCATTGCAAGACTGACAGTTGTTCCTACAAAATGAAATTTCTAGTTCACTGAATAGCACAGGGACAATTATACTCTGTACAAAGATTAGAATCAACAACTAAGACAGCAGAAGTCGTCTGAAGTTGTAGGAGGAAGTCTTTGGAACCTACTGATCACAACAGTATGCTCCACAGTCCACAAAAGTATCAAGAATTATATGATGAACTTGAAGCCCTCATTATCTACTCTCAATAATTACCAAAGTGCCAAGGTATCAGGCCAACTTGCTCAGAATGCCAGAGGGTGACAGGGGTGGATGGACATGTCCATTGACATTCTTTTCTTTTAGATGAAAATCCAATCAGCATGACGGCTACTGCCACAAAAATCCAATCAACACGATGATAGCCATGGAGATCTAATTGGTATGATCATGACTGCCATAACTTGGTCTAGAAAGAGATCATCAGAAACTATGTATAGGGTCTAACATCTGTTTCAGTAGATGTAGACCTTCTAGTCACTCTGGTAATGCTCAAGTTTGAGAATCACTGCTTTATATTTTATCACATAAAATGAATCCCACAAAACATATAAATGTATTAGGTCTGCGAAAAGATCCAAGAATTCCCAGATGATGCTGATATCAAACCACACTTTGAAAAAAATGAAAAGAGAGAAATTAATATCCCTATAAAGGTAGTAGTAGTCACCCGTGGGGAGAAGAGCTGTTATTTGAAAGCAATATGCAAACACTTTCTGGAATGCTGGCAGTTTTCTATTAACCTGGTAGTGATTACACAGGTATAATCATAACATTGTATATTTATATTTTAAAGAAAATCAAAGAACTGATTGTTCCTTTCCTATTCAATAAGTCTACTGTCATTGTACTGATCCTATCCATAATCCTTCTATTACCCTGTCTATAATCAATACCAAAAGTAGAAAATGAAATAAGTTTGTAATTTCTCAAGATATAATGTATTTTACTTTAGTTCCTAATGTAACTGGCTCACAAATAGCTTCAAAAGTTAAAACACGAAAGAATTAAAGTTTCTGAAAACCCCATTTTAAAAGTTGTTTAAAACGTGGAAATATACTATCTGTAGCCTTTGTTCCCAATTTAAAAATGTATGCGAAACTAAAAAACAATCTTAAACTTTTAACAAGTATTCAATGTATTTTTTTTCAAAGTTGAAAGCAAGGAGTCAGGGAGAATCCTACATTTTACTAATCTGAACTTTCTACTCCAAAAATGCTTGCTTCTCCTCTTAAATACAATCTGAAAATGAATATCCAGTGCAGGTAGTAGCCCTATCTTTTCAAATAACCCTTACCTCTGGGTGAAAGCAATATTCATGAACTGTTCTTAAGTCTGTGAGAATGTAGATAGTCTCTTTGTGGGAAGAAGGATGATAAAAATGGTTGAAAAACACTAAATTAAGATGATTAGCATAGATTGTGCTTTAAATTCTCACAAATCCTTGAAGACCAGTAATAGAATCTGGGGTATATACACCTGTTTTTTGTTTTTATACAAAATAAACATTTTCTGGGATCAGACTCTTTCACAAACTTTGCAAAACAGAAATATTTGTCATTTTGATTCAGAGTATCAACAAATCCTATTTTTCAAGTTCTGACCTTTACTTGGCGAGGAAACAATTTTAAAAGTTATAAGTTTTATTTCTGGCAGTTAATAGCTGCCTATGACTTGTGATGTACCAGACAGGTATCTGGTACATCAAATGGTCCCCATAGCAAGGTCTATTAACACACACTTGAAATATAACCTCTCTGTACCACTTTTTAAAAGTATTATTATGCGGATAATAATACTTTATGTCACAGTGTTGTGGTTTGGATCTGAAATGTCCCCCAAAACCTCATGTGTTGAAGACTTGGTCCTCATTACAGCAGTTTTCAAAAGTGAGCTTTTGGGAAATGATTGGACCATGAGGGTTCTAACCTCATTATGGATTAGTTCATTGATGGATTCAGGCCTTAGCCTGAAAACTTTAGGAGGTGGGGTCTCTTTGGAAAAAGTAGGTCACTAGGGGCAGGCCCTTGAGGGGTATATTTTGTCCTTGGCCTCTTCCTTTTTCTCTCTCTCTGCTTCCTGGACACCATGAGGAAAGAGCTACTGCCTCTGCTTCATGCTCTCTGCCATGATGTTCTGCCTTGTCACAGGCCCATAGTAATGAGGCAAAGTGACCATGGACTGAAACCTCTAAAACCAAGAGCCAAAACGAACCTTTCCTTCTTTTAAGTTAATTTTCTCAAGTATCTTGTCACAGTGATGAAAAAATAAGTCATATATAAAGTTATAAAAGTTTACATATGTGAGGATTCAATGTGTTAATGAATATTAAACTTTTAGAATAATACTTGACCCAGAGTAAACACTAGTCTTAGCTGTTACTGTTCTATCTATAGCCATATAAACCCTACAGCTATTGAAATTATAAATGCTCCTAGTCTTGCAATTTGGGTGCCATTACTTCTAGATTAATCTCTCTCTCTTGACTATTTAGTTGGAAGATGCCACACACATAGTCTATAATCTATAAAGTCTACATTTTTGTCTTGGATACCCAGAGATACTCAAAAGAGTCACTGAAACAATGAGGGCACCTTCATCACCACACCAGAGGCAGAGCATCATCTTCAGGCTCCCTACTTTATAGCCGTTAATGATGGTTGAAGGGGTCACAAATCCTCCTGGGTTACATGATATCTGAAATAAAAAAACATACCCCCATGACAATATCAATCAAATGTGCCCCCAGATAATGGATAGCAAGACTATACATGCAAGTGGGCACACACATACTCATTCACTCGAGGGTAGTCAGCATGCTTGAGATTGAATACTTACAATGACACTCAGCCTTCTTCCTTATCCTCAAAACAGATTATTTTTTTTAAGTTTCACTCAAAAATCTATAGGGAATGCTCATCTGCTGTGAGTACAGCACACCGCTGATGTTATTTGAATATTGAGTACAGTTGTAGAAAGAGTAGGAGTGGGTCCACCTCTTCAACTAAAATTCATTTTGGTAACTAGATGCATCTGCTGCTGACAGACAAAAATGAAATGATTGAACTCACTTTGCTTATCTTCTATTTTAGGGAAATTTTCACAAGAAACTCCCCTGCTTTATTTAGTAAGGAACAGATGTTTCCCCATATGGTTTTCTCACTATCTCAAGAACCACTTTTGTCCATATTCAACATGCATAAATATTTCAGTAATTTGGCGTCTGCCTAGGATATAGAAATGTAGCAGAGCATCAGTCCTACTCTAAAGACCAGGAAAAAAAGAAGAAAAAAAAACAGAATAATTTTTCATGAACCCAGCAGAGAACTGAGGTTAGGATGACCAACTGGACTTTTCCAGTGTAGTACTGAACGTCCCATTTCCTCAATTTCAGAATAGTCAATCACCCTAGCCAGAGTCAAAGGCAATCAAGAAGCCTGAAATCCAAGGGAAGATTGGCTCCACCAAAGAGAATCAGAATGAGTGCTGAAGAAAGGCCTACCTCCTCCAGCCACACCCTATTTGCCTAGAGTTACCACCCAGTTAATCCATATCAGTGGATTAATCCTCTGATGAGGTTCCAACTCTCATTATCTAATCATTCCACCTCTGAATGTTCTTGTATTATCTCACACATGAGCATTCAGGGATACTTCATATCTAAACCATTAATACCAGGAGTCCTCTGGCCCAGATTAGCAAGATAGCAAACATCAGGTAACAAGCAAGCCGAGGGAAAGAAGCATGGAGAAAGGCTCCTTTGTGGTATAGGCTTGCTGGGACGGCTGGATGCTCAGAGTGGAACAGGATCATTGAGACAATCCCTCTAGGACTCTTAGTGTTACCTAAGCAAAAGTAACACTAGAGGAAACTGAAAATGGTGTTGTATCAAAGGTGGAATAACGAAATTCAAACCAGCTTAACTGCTGAGTAGACAAGATTCAACACCTCACATGACTGGCCTAGCAGAAAAAGTGTGCTTATCTTGAAGCATAGATGATCTCTTAATCTCTACTGTTCTATACAAGATGCCTGGCATTTGATAAAAGATTATAAAGACACAAATAAAAGGAAGAAAAAGATCCATCCACTATTTAAGAGAGAAAATAATCAAGGGAAGCAGACTAAGGCAAAACCTAGGTGTTAGAAGTATGACAGAAAGTATTCAAAATAACATTCATCATCTATATTAAAGTTTCTGGAAAGAAAAATGGCAACAACACGAATGAACAGATGGGGAAATTTTAGCAAAGATAAAACCTATATGTGTCAAATAGAAATGCTAGATATAGAAAACATGGTAACAGATAATGTGGTCTAAAGCAGTGATTCTTAGCCACAGACCATGTTGCCTCTTGGGAGACATTTGGTTGTGACCATGATTGGGCTGCAGTGCTACTGGTATCCAGTCAATAGACAAACCAGGACTGCTGCCAAATTTCCTATAGTGCACAAGTGAGCCCCATACAACAAATAATTGCCCAGAGCAAAATGTCAGGAGTGCTCAGACTACCCTGTCTGACTGATAAAAAAGAAGATGCAAGTCACCTGTGTCTGGAATGAAAAAGGGGACAATACTACAGGTCTCAGGATGCTAAGAGGCTAAGTATGATGTCACAAACAACTGTGTGCCCTTCACTGTCAAAAGCCAGAAATCAGGACAATCCAAACCTAGTTCTTTTTGGTCCACATCTATATGCTTTACTTGGTGCCAAGAGGAATGTTTGAGCTTCAGCTTTTGGAAATTGCAGGAAGTCCAGAATCCAGTTAATGTCTTCCAAGGCACCAGCTGCCATCTTCTATGCTTCCAGGAGTTCCCAAGTATTTCACATCCTTTGATGTACACATCTCAATCCAGTCTTAGCATGCTGGCTTAATCATGGTTGTAAGGCACTGTTGCAACAAAGTTTGGCCTCTGAAAGTTGAACAAAAGGGGAATCTCAGAAATGTAATAGTTTGATTTGGCGGTAAAGATTCTCTCCCAGCTCAACTTGCTAAAGCTTTTCTGCTTAAACATTTCTAAATTTCTTAAGAAAGTAAGTATTTATGTGATGGTAGGTCCTTCCACACTGATGAAGCCCAGCAGAGTTTCATTTCAGGCCCCTGAAAGTATCTGAGGAGGTGAATTCAAGTTCTGGGCTTTGGTTGAACAGTATAGCTCATGAGGCCAAGCAGTCCAGGAGCACAGCTGAGACTGAGCCCCATGCTGGAATGGGTGAGCTGCACATAGGAAACTGGGTAATCTAACACACAAACAAAGCCAAATCTTTCCAGGGAAGACATAAACTAAGATTGAGTCAATCAATAAAATATGGGTGATATGAAAGCAAATTGCAGATATTATAATGAGGTCATGCCAAAGGCTAGAAGGATCACACAAATGCTCTGGTTGCTACCAAGAGCAAGTCACTGAGAATTGCTTCTGTATGGAGAACTTCACACACTGACAACCCTGGGCCTCAGTTCCCTTTAAGGACACACTTTAGTAACCAGAGAACAAGGCGACTACAAGTTCTAAGAGGGCTAGATTAGGACCAACATCCTAGTATCTACTTTGATTTAGAGCTGACATCTTCCCTCACCACATGCTTTTAAGATCCATCCAAAACACTACAGATCAAGATTTTGGAGTCCACTCCATATATTCCATAACTAAGGGACACTGCTCAAGTGAGAGATTAAATTTACAGGTAATTTTTCTGTCTCCTTATTTCAGACTAGAGCATCAGGAAATTTCTTTACCAAAGCAAATGATGAGGTGACCACCCTCCTTGATCACATCTTCCATCCTTGTCTGTAGTTTCTTTACACTTCACTTCTGCAACACTGGACAATCAGTTAACCAAAGCAGTAGTTGCTCTGCCAGTAACTGAATTAGTTCTAGTGCCAGAGCTGACAGAAGATTGAATCCTTTTCTCTCATTAAAATGATAACACTGTAGTCCTAGACCACTCATGGTTAGGACTCCAAGGCCCATAATTAAGCTAGGTTTAAAAGTTTTTGATCTGGGTGAGATATGAAAAAGCTATATTCTCTGGGAGATAAGGGGCAAAGTTTTTAGGGTGAGGCAGTTTTTCTGAACATTTTATGTAAGTAGTTTCCAATACTAAAAATATTTATAATAGTGCTTTTCAAGAGAAATAGAGAATGAGTTATATACAAGATTTATTTAAGATTTTCTAGAAGTCACATTAAAAGTAAGAAGGACCAGGTGAACTTAATTTTAACATGCTTATCCAAAATATCACTTCAACAAGTAATTCATGTAAAATTAAATATTTTTAAATGAGAATTTAAAACAGGGTGTGTATTTTACATTGCATCTTATTTCAGACTAGCCACGTTTCAAGAGCTCAGTAGCCACTTGTGATTCATGGCTGTGGTATTGGACAGTTCAGTATTACACTCTCAGATTTCTTCTCTAAACAAAGTATCTTACTTAGTTAATATTTTAGAGATAAGGTCTTTCTGTGTTGCCCAGGATGTTGTCATACTCCTGGGCTCAAGCCAATTCTCCTGCCTGAGCCTCTTGAACAGCCGAAACTATAGGAATGCACCTCTTTAAGCAGATTCTTTCTTCCTCATATCATGCCAAACAATTCAGTTCCCCACCCGCCTCACCTGCACCAGCCCTTCCTGGATTCCTGTCAAATCCCTTTCCCACAATACTCTGTTAGTATATGGTCAGCTGATTCCTTACCTGTCAAGATCCTTCAGCAAAGAATCCAATACTATTGACTTCATTGGATGTGGCACTTTCACATTCTATTCATTTCTCAAACGTCCTGAAATAGGAGGAAGGGCGAGGGGTGGACATTGGATCAACAAGTTTTTATGATTCCAACAGTTCTCAGCTTAGTTAACAGAATCACCCTCTTCTACCTCTTGATGTCTTAGCAGCTACTGCTGGGTCTAGAGAAGAATCCCTTTTAAAATATACTTTAAAATAATTGAATGTTAGAGAAGAAAGCCTTTGTGAAAAGACAAGAGTTGGTGCCAGAGCCATTGCAAAAATGAAAACATGGGGCCCCTGGTTCAAAAATTAAGACCTTATGGAGGATGGGAACAGATCATTAATACAAGCACAGGGCCCTTTTGAGCCTTGTGTCACTTGCATAGGTTGATGAAGCTGGTCCTGGCAGGGCTTATGTCTCTGGAAGAATTCCAGATCTGTAAAAGGCAAGCCAGTGATGAGGTTCTCTGGGCTATCTTAAAGACCTCCTCAGTCACATCTACTAGAATTAACTGGAGGAGAGGATGTTTTGGAGAATGGAGAAAGAGGTAGTGAGGGAATGAAGGAGGTAGGTGAGACAACCTGGCTCTGCTGATGAAAACACTGACCAGTGTCACTCACACGTGCAGAAACTTATCAGGCCCAGCTTCTGTGGACCCTTGTTGGGTCTGACATCTGAAAAGGCGATTTGTAGGCTTGAGAGCAAATCCCTCCAAGGCTGCTTCTTTTGTGACTTTTCCCCCTCTCCAAGCCAGGAACAGGTGGTGACTAGGAGTGGCCTCCAGAAGCTGCTACGGTGGGAGTTTGCTGGAGCAGTGGCATCATTTCCAGCCTCTGACTCTCAGGTTGGACTCAGGCCCAGGTTCAGGAGAGACCTTTCCAAATCAGGCCTAGCAGCAGCTCTCTGTCCAGTCAGCACTTCTGCTTTTCCCAACTAGGACCACGGAGACCTTTTTTTTTTAAGAGACTTGGGACATTGGTGAGGAACTGGGGTCTGGCTTCCCCCAGGTGCAGGAACAGCAAACCTGAATTAATTCCTTGCCTCTTTATCCGACCGACCTGGCCTAGGTAGCCACATCGCTGCAGGGGCCTCAGTATCCCTGAGCCTCAGAGACCCCTTGTCTTACTGGCGGCCAAGGGCTCCAACGGCCACCTACAAGCAGTTCAACTGAAAGTGGGACTGGAAGCCTGTGGCTGCACAGGAATAGTTTCCTAGGCGACAAGCCCCGCCCCAGGCCACGTGTACAGCCACGCCTCCTGGGGAGTAGTAGCCAGATGGCAGGGGGACAGCATACGGTGATGCCACAAGCTGTCTTTTGTGTTCCCCATTCTTCCTTGGTCTTCTGTTTGCAGAAGAGCTTTACCTAACTGTTGCCGGCATACCACGTGACTTTATGCGCTTTTGGTGGATAGACAAGTAAAAGATTTGCACCTCCTGTAGGGGACTGGGGAGACTAGGGCTCTAGCTGCTCAAAGAGGCGGAAACTGTCAGGGCCTCATGGAGGTGCCCTCTCGCCCATCCATCGCTGCTCTCAAATAGCCACACCAATTGCCACCTGTCTCCACCCCAACCCAGGATAATACTCATCTATTCGCCATTGTATATAATCTTGTATTTTAAGATTGTTAACATAAAAGTAAACTAAGTATATAACGTTTTGGGATTGGAATTCTTAGCTCAATTTTCTGGGTCAGTAGTTTGTGCCTTTTAATTTCTGAGCAGTATTCCAAAGTATAGACATACTATTATTTATTTGTTTAGCCATTCACCAGTTAAAGGACGCCAGTTCTTAGCTATTATAAAGAAAGTTTCCATAAAATTTGTCTCCGGGTTTTGTATGTGAACATGAACCATCATTTCTATGAGAAAAAAGCCAGAAGTGCAATTCCTGAGTCATAAGGTAGTTGCAAGTTTGGTTTTCAGAAATCGCCAAATTGGTTTCTGAGCTGCTGTACCATTCTATATTCCTATTAGTAAGGTAGGAGTTTTCATCAAGAACAGGTGTTCAGTTTTATCCAATGGCTTTTCAGTGTCTAAGGCAATGATTATTAAAATAATATTTGTCTGTTAGTATTTAATATGGAATTTATACTAATGGATTTATTCATATTGTATTAGTCTCAATATATTGCTTTACTTGTTAACATTTTATTTAAGTAGGACTTTCTTTATCCCTAAGTAAGATCTATAGTTTTTTTTTTTTTTGTAATGAAGTGTCTTTTCCTAAAAGATATAGTTCCAAGATGGAAATTCTTTCTTTTTCTATGGTCTACCATAATCCAAATATTATTGGGATCACCTGCTTTTT